CAGTACAGATAGTGAATAGTTATCAAATTAGAGTCAATTAGCATTTCTGACTTTTTGTACAGTTATCACTTCTTAGTGTTTAGAGACTTTGGACTCTTTCAGTTTATCATAAAATATGTAATTGATTGTTGTAAAAGTAGGGTTAGCCTACTGTGCTACAGAATGCGAGGACTTACTCTTAACCTAGTTGCATTTTGGTCTCAATCTTCCACCATCTTTCTCACTTCCTTCTCCCTCTACTTTTTCTACCCTTCAGCTCTCCTCTCATTTGAGAAGCAGCTATTTTAGCTTAGACATATTAGTTAAGAACATGAGACATTTGTTATGTCTGTTATGTTTCACTTAATAGTGTCTTCCAAAAATGTATTTATGATCAACTTTAAAACCTAAAAGTTAATATTGGCACATTCTTCTTTCTCACGCCTCACCTCCAATCTATAGTTTCCTCTTGTGTGTCTTAAAAATCCATATAGCTCTCTTCCCAACCCTACCTTTTAGTTCTAGCTCCCATTTACCTCTTTATGTGGACTGTTGTGTTAGTTTCCTGACTCCAGTTTTGTTCTTCTCCATTCCACTCTTCATACTTGCCACCACAGTTGTCTTCACCACCAGCAAATCTCAACCTGTCATTCTTAGAACTCTCCAGTGAAGATCACATCTTTTGATTGACCTCCAGAGTCCCTCTCAACCTCCCCTGCTTCCCAAGAACACAAATAGCCTGTGAGTGCTCACTGTCAAGTGTATGTTGTGTGTGTGAATTTAAACACCTACATGAACTTCGAAATTTCAGCTTTACTGCTCTTGCTTATTTTGTTGTGTAGGCTGTTTGGGTGCTTCCAAGGTTCAGTGTTATCTTTGCTTCTAGGATTTACTGCTATATCTACTTACTGACGTGACTGTTTGTTTTAAAGGTGGCCGTTCTCATTCCTTTCCGCAATCGCCATGAACATCTGCCAATCTTTTTCTTGCATCTGATTCCAATGCTCCAGAAACAGCGGTTGGAATTTGCCTTTTATGTCATTGAGCAGGTGAGAATATTTTTTAAGATAATTACTGAGTACAACTTAAACTCTTGACTATGGCTTTAGTTAAAATGCTTAAGGATAGGGGCTGGGAAGGTGGCTCAGTGGTAGAGTGCTTGCCTTCCATGCATGAGCCCCTGGGTTCTATTCCTCAGTACCACATAAGCAGAAAAAGCTGGAAGTGGCTCTATGGCTCAAGTGGTAGGTGCTAGCCTTGAGCTGAAGAGTTCGGGACAGTGCCCAGGCCCAGAGTTCAGATCCCAGGACTGACAAAAAAAAGTTTAAGGATAATCAGGTAATTTAAATCCTTTGATTTAGAGTTGATTAAAAGATTTCTGATTGGATCTGTACTTTTTTTCTTTTAATAATTGTAATTACCTTATAGTAAATGTCAAGCAGGTCAAACTTGGTCAAATTTGGTCAAACAGGTTAATCAGTTATTATGTTTGAGAAAAGATAACATTGATGTATTTTAGTGACATTGTACACTTGGTACAGTCATCTGGGCTTCAAATTGGGGTGTGTTCTAAATTATATGTAGTACTCCAGAGTGACCTCAAATACATTCACTGTGTTCAGTTTTGAAAGAACATTTCAGTTTTGAAGGAACAATTCAGTTTTCAACCCATGGATTTCCATAGAACAAGAGAAGAAGGACT